AGAAGGATCGCTGGAGCCCAGCAGCTCGAGGCTGCGGTGGCCGGAAGTGGCCACTGCACTCCAGTCTGGGCGACAGAGTGAAACTCCAACTCAAAAAAAAAAAAGAATAGGAAACTAACTAGGTGTGGTGGCTCATGCCTGTAATCCCAGCGCTTTGGGAGGCAGAGGCAAGAGGATTGCTTGAGCCCAGGAGTTCGAGACCAACCCAGGCAACATGGCAAGACCTTGTCTCTACAGTAAATTCAAAAACTTAGCCAGGTATGGTGATGTGACCCAGTGGTTCCAACTGCTTGGAAGCCTGAGGCAGGAGGATCACCTGAGCCCAGCAGGTCGAGGCTACGGTGGCCATGAGTGTGCCACTACACTCCATCCTGGGTGACAGAGTGAGACTCCTACTCAAAAAAAAAAAAAGAATAGGAATCACATACACACACACACACCACATGTAGCTACTCAGCAATTCTCTGAGTGACCTGGGATTGAACCATTTTTCTCAGACCACTGAGCTGTGTTGCTGTTCAGTAACGTGAAAGTCGTATTCATTCCTGACACTTTGGCTCAATTCCACTCCCTCCTTTGAGAGAGGACACCCAAATAAACTTCCTGAAAGGCATGGCCAGAGTGACGGCCTCCCTCCCGTAAGTCCAGTAATCCCTGTATCCCTGTGGGGGCACTATGGCTTGGGGCCTAACCCGCCTCACTAAAGACCTGTAAAACTTGATTTCATTGGAACTTCCAGCCAGCACCGTGGATGTTCCAGTGTCGTGTGAGTGTCCTGGGACCCCTGTCCATAGTGGAAAATATGAGACCTATTCTGGCTCCCTTTGCTGTAAGGACAAGGGCTCATTTCTAAAGACACGGAGGGTAATAATGTCCCCAAGGGCTTGTTAACAAACCCACATGCAGCTGAGGTGGCTCGTGTTTACTCCAGAGGAAGGAGAATGTGGCTCACCGTGGCGTGTAGAGGCGTGGAGATGTTGAAATCTCTCTGCAATCAGGCGCTTCAATGCCCCGGTGAATGTGGGGGTGATGTGCTGCAGCTGCTGCTAGGATGAGGTCGCCAGCCTGGCGGCAGAGCCGAGATGACCGTAGACTGCCCGGGATCATCAGGCTTTCTGGATCTGGAGAGGCAGCCCTCGGTCTCATGTCCTGAGCAGGGTTGGCCTTTCCTTCTCTGTGGAACCCAACACTCGCCCCTCACTCTGCCCTCTCAGCCTCTCCAGGGACCATGTGGTTGGAAGTCCTGTTAATGAAAAGCACGCAGAGGACTTGGGTCTTGGTTCCTTCAGTGCCCTTGCCAGCCTGTTTCAGGTGCAGATGGACAGGCACGTTCTCTAACAGCCACCTGCATGTGTGCTACCGTGTAAACAGTAGGCATGGGCACAGGGGAGATGGGAAAGGGGAGCTGCGTGCATCAGCAGGTGGGGAGGAAGGAGGCAGAGGGGTCTTCCTCTGTTAAAAGGGAGACGGGGTTCTGGACAGTTGCAGCACAGTGCTGCTGTTCAGATACTTTTGAACTGTAAGTCACAAGGGCCCTGGACACCACAGCCTTTAGCCCACCCTCGCTGAATTCATAATAGCCCAGACGGGGGATGGAGAAATTGTTCCTTCAAAACCTGAAAACTGTTAATTTTGATTTTCAAACTAAAGAATAAATCACTTTTTGGAAGGAAGTGGGGAGGGAATCAAAGTGAACGAATGAATAGCAGAACATCATTGCTTAAAAACAGAAAAAAATCCCGGCTTGGTAGCTCAGCCTGTAATCCCGTGCTTTGGGAGGCTGAGGTAAGTAGATTGCCTGGACCCGTGGGTTCGAAACCTGCCTGGGCAACTTGGCGAGCCCTCATCTCTACAATAAATCAAAAACTAGCCGGGCGTGGTAGCGCGTGTCTGCACTTCCAGCTACTTGGAAGGCTGAGGCAAAAGGATCGCCGGAGCTCAGCAGGTCGAGGCTGCGGTGACCGGGAGCGGCCACTGCACTCCAGTCTGGGCAACAGAGTGAGACTCCAACTCAAAAAAAAAAAAGAAAAAAATTGAGCTATTCAGCCTGAACAAACAGAGAGGAAAAGAAGGAGTATCGTCAAGTACTTGTTGTGATGCAGTGATTAATTTGAAGTTTCAACGCTTTGATTAAGCTGTCCTAGACTTACAGTTGCTCTTAAACATGCTCTTCTACAAAACTGATTCTTGAATATGCCCAGTATAGTCCTTATATCTAGAGATATATGATGTGGGTCTGCACACTGTGCATTGCCCTGATAGAAACTTACTTCCTACTGTGTTGTCCACACTGAGACAGTATTTACTGTGTGTCTCCTGGGTGCAGTGCTGGGATTCGGCTCTGTGGGGGAGTAGACACCAGGATCAATGCCTCTTCTTAAGGAACTTAGATTTACTTTTTTTTTTTTAACCAGTGGAGTCTTTGCTTAAAAAAAAAAAGAAGCGAGGCATATTTAAAAACAAATTGACTCTTACTCTTTGAAGATGAAAATATTACTGACTTAAAATTAGAGATATTATTAAAATAAAATTAAAAAATTTTAAATTGTCACAGTTGTAAAGCTATAAATAAATCAGTAAAGTGAAATAAAATAGAGCTTTAAGATGTGGACGGGTATTTATTTGTCCAGTAAAATGGAATGGACAGCCTATATCAGAAACCTCTGGAGATAGAGGTCAGGAGGTGTGTGGCTGCTTTCTTTACTGTGGTTAAAGGTTGGACACTTGCAGATAAAAAGTTGAAGGGAGCTTCTCTTTTGCAGCTCTGGTTTGGAGATGATGTTTGTCTGAAAGTTAGAGTGATAGCTCAGGGACACTTTCATCCCTGTTCACCTTTGTAGGTGGACTTCATCTTTCTCTAGCAGTTTAGTTTGGTCGCTTCCCATGAAGTCCTGCATCAACAGAATGACTTTGGAAACAAGAGGCCTGCCGCCCACCAGAGTGAACCTTGTCTTCATGCCCCATGTGAAGACCCACCCATCACTGCTTTGTCCCTGGCCCCTGACTGGGGGGACAGATAACTAATCCCCTCAACCCTCATCCCCATTAGACCTCTTGTCCTTGGCATCCCAGATTGTTTTAGATTGTGGCTGGTTCTCAGCTTTTCTTATACCATGCCATATTTTAGATAGGTGTTAAAGAAAATAACTTCAGATGTTTGGAGCGTTAGGCAGAATCAAGTGGGTATGATCAGGTGAAGGCCACAGCTTGGGGAGCTGCCCCCCTTCATTGCCCAGGAAACTCATACTGCAAATGTGTGTTCAGGGTATACAGTCGTGGCAGGATGTCACCTTTGATGTCACAGAAATAAAATGGTTGTAAACGGTGATCAGCATTGTAGAGAATGAGCAGTCACT